CAAATAAAAAATGCTGAAAAAAACAGTCCTACATTTATGTCACACTCACCCACCCACTCACCCACCGCGGTTGACGCGGCAGCTTACGCAACCGCACCGTTTACCGCGAAACACATGCGGGGAGCAGCTTCGCATCGTTCACGCTCGTCTTATCATCTATCACGTAGTTTCGACACTCGTATTGTGGTTTTCTTGTTGAAACAAGTGTCGAAATCACACGATAGAAGAAACGGGCTTCGCTAACGAAGATAAGGGCCGCGCGATGGGTTTCTGTCTACTATTCAGTCGACTACTCTTATGACTACGGACACGAAAAAACCCGACCAAGTAGTCATACACAGGTTCGCTGTAAAAAAAACTGAAAGCTCAAGAAACTTGACGCTATAAAAATGGCCGGCGCGCGCACATTACCGTCAGAGTCCCAATTACCGAGCAGTTTCGTATATCGTCTATTCGCAAGTGTAAACGTGCAATAAGTCGGACCGCGGCCGCTGCTATACGATCTGATGGAACCAAGCAAGCAGACCCAAAAGTGCATCGTCACCGCGCTTATCACCTTAGTGCGTTTCTCACCGACTCAACCAATCACGCACAGTCAATTCTCTGTAATCATAAGCCTTTTTAAACCACAAAAAAAAAAAAAAAAAAACGAGCGCAGTGACGATGCAATTTTTGCGCCGTTTGATGGGCTCAATCGGATGTTGTTCGTCTGCTTCTTGCTCAGGGGTCACAATGAGGTCACGACGCCAAGCTATTACTGGCTAATTGAAAAAAAAAATAGTGACCAATCAGACCTCGGCGGCGTTGTGACGTCACTGCAACTGCTGCGCAAAAAGCAGATGACTTGCGCTCCGCATATGGCATCGGCTCCGATCGGACTTCAAATGAAACGGATGCTAGTCTAGTGCCACTGAGTTATTATAATAAACGCTAGAGGCTCAGCTGGCGCTAGTGTCTATGGGACTTCCGGTTGCAAAGTGAAGCAGACAGCATGCAGTCTACTTTTCCAGTCTCCCCGTGTATTCCTATGGGAAAACGCGCGTGAATTTTGTCTCGTCGCCGGAAAATAACGTCAATAACTTTTGTTATTTCGGTTGTACCGGATAGTATGTACCTTTATTAATATTGTGAAAATGTAATTGCTTTAGTTACAGCATTTTTCCTTTACCACTGAACCATGTTAAACTTCGCATATTTCAGGCCCAAACCTCTGTTCCATGGCAGGTGTGTAGAAACGAGCGACGATTCTAAGCAAAATAAAAATTCAAAGGAATGTAGAGTGTGCTCAAAGTTCGCCAGCATTCCGTTGGTGCATATACAGGGTGTTTTTTTTTTATTCTTACACATTTGTTTAAAAATAACCGTGAAAGCTGCAATAATGCGGTTTGTGCAGGTGGGTTATACGGCCAGGCGGACATTATGTGGTTGGCTAATCTTTGCGATAAGTCGGCTAATCAATTGAAATTCGTTAATTAACTTTTTAATTACTTAAAATAAACATATGGTTTCAATTAGAAAAATTGCTGGGCATCATCGAAAACCCCTAAATCAACTATTTTTAGCAGGATATAACGCCAGGGCAGCATTTTACGGCGTTCTCTAAAAACACTCCATTTGGACGCATTTATAGATTTCGGTTTCTTATCGGAGCGCATCTACGCGCCCGCGATCCTGCTCCCCGGTGGTCGCGACGCGAAGCCACCTCCTCGCCTCCCTCGTAGAATGGAGGGAAGTACGGCGCACGTGTGTTGCGCGTCTCAGCCACTGGGGAGCAGGACCGCGGGCGCGGTGATGCGCTCCGATAACAAACCGAAATCTAGAAATGCGTCCAAATGGAGCGTTTTTAGAGAACGCTGTAAAATGCTTCCCCGGCGTTATATCTCTCCAAAAATAGTTGATTTAGTGGTTTTCGATGATGCTCTACAAGTTTCTAATTGAAACCATATGTCTATTTCCACTAATTAAAAAAGTTAATTAACGCATTTTAATTAATTAGCCGACTTATAATAATAATAATAATAAATCTCTTTATTTCGTTTCGGAGACGAAACAGGGGACATGGACAAAAAGCTGCAACTGCAGCTTGACGAAGGTCCGAGCCCCCTCTTACAGCAGGCGAAGAAAAATACATATAAATATAATTACACACATACGGCTAAGAAAAATAGATATAAATATAATTATACGCATACGGGACTTTTCAATACAAAGAAAAAGAAAATCAAAAACATTTTCGTACCTCAGTCAGTGTCATCCCATCGATATCAATTTCTTTGGTAAATAAGTAATTTAATAGAGTAGTTAACTGGTAATTTAATGTTTGATTAAAATACAACGTGCGTGATGGTGCAACAAACCATTTTTCTTTTGGTCTAAGTTGATATGGTGAAGTGAATGGGACAAGACTACATAGACGCATAAAAAAGCTATCTGTAATCAGCAGTGATTTCTTATACGTGACTAAAAGCTTATATTCATAGATATTTTGAATAGGTTTAATTTTTAACGAAGAAAACAAATGTTCGGTATGGTGATAATATGAACAATTTGCGATAGCGCGCACAGCTTTCTTTTGTAAAATAAACAGCTTGTTCATGTTTGCTTTTGTCGTATTGCCCCACACAAGGTGACAATAATTAAACTGCGAATATACCAATGAGTTATAAAGTAAAAGCTTTACAGATTGAGGTAACAACGACTTAAATTTTATGAGTAATCCAACTGTTTTTGATAATTTGGATAGAATAAAATCAACATGTGCGGTCCAGGACATAGTTTTAGTAAACCAGATACCCAAAGTTTTAATTTTATCTACAAATTCAATTTCTTCGTTGTTTAAAACCACGGGGCTTGAGATCACAACTGGAATATTTGAACTGCTGAATATGATGGCCTTGGTTTTTTGTGAATTTAGTTTAAGCAGATTGCTCGTCGTCCATCTATTGATTTTATCAAGCAAGTTGTTACATTTGGCTGCAAGTGTATTAATATCTCGCCCAGGAAAAAAAATACTAGTATCATCGGCATAGATAATAAACTCGATGTCAGGGTCGCGATTTACGTTAACAATGTCATTTATATAAATAGTAAAAAGTAATGGGCCTAATATACTACCTTGGGGAACGCCACTGGTTATATTTAGAATATGCGACTTAAAGTTAGATATAACTACAAATTGAGTTCTATGCTGCAAATATGATTTTAATAACTTTAACGTGTTACCTCGAATTCCAAAACATGTTAATTTTGCAAGAAGTATGTCATGATTTATTGTGTCGAAAGCTTTAGAAAAGTCTAGAAAAATTCCAATTGTTAATATGCGATTGTCTAGTGCTTTTAATATCAATTCCTTCTGTTTTAATAAAGCAAATTCGGTAGAACGATTTTGACGGAAACCAAATTGAGACTCAGTTATTAAACTGTATTTTTCAAGATGCGAGGTAATTCTCACAGAAATTAGTTTTTCAAGCGGTTTGGAAAACACTGGAAGTATAGAAATGGGTGTAAAATTATTAATATTGCCTAACTCTCCTCCTTTATGTAAAACGCTCAATTTGGCTAGCTGCATTTTGGCAGGGAACTCACCAGTCTCAAATGCGAGGTTGAAAATATGGGTTAAATATGGCGCTAGAATATCTAGAACAAATTTGGCTGGTTTTATTTGCATATTATAGGCATCAAGACTATTACTGTTTTTCAAACTCATGAATATATTTTGTACTTCAGTAATATCAGTGGGGAATAAAAATACAGAATTTGGTAAAGGTACGGGCATATATTCAATTGCGTTACTTGCAAGGGGTGTGGAGACTGAAGAGGTCGAAGACTTTACAAAATGTTAATTAAACGCGTTTGTCATATCTGACTCTGAAACACGAGTATTGTTTATATTAAGTTCGAGCGGGGTGGCAGTTTGTGGTTTATAATTAACTACGCATCTTAGCTTGCGCCAGATTATATCAGCTCTCCGCATATCGTCAACACTAAACATATGAACATAATATTGCTTTTTTGCTTGCTTCAACATGGCTGTCAGCTGATTCCTGTACTTTTTAAACACTTCGAGTGCAACATTATCCCTAGATTTCAAAAACCTCCCGTATAAATTATTTTTTGTGCGAATCATAGTTAGAAGTTTAGGTGTAACCCAAGGTTTGCGAGAATGCCTCGATGGTTTTAAGATTTTGAATGGGAAATGCTTATTATATATGCCGATGTAAGTGTCCAAAAAAGTGTTATAGGCCTGGTTTACCGACTGAATTTCCAAAATGAAGCTCCAATTTGTGCGCTCAATTTCATACCTAAACGCGTTCAGCTGACGTTGTGAAATTGGCTGATACATGTTGAGCGTTGAGCTAGTGACAAGTTTGCTAGCACACTGTTTTTGCACAGTTATAAAAATTGGAAGGTGATCACTGATATCTGATGAAATGACACCGGCAGAAAGTACTGAATGTTCACAGTTCGTAATAAATAAGTCAAGAAGGGAAACTGAGGTACTAGTCACTCTAGTAGGCTTTGTAATAACGTTTGAAAAACCACAAGACTGAAATTGATTAGTAAGGAGTGATTTCAGGTTGTTCTGACTAAGGACATCGATGTTAAAATCACCAGCAATATAAGACTTGTAGTTATTATCAATAATAAACCCGCATAAACCTTCGAAAAACTCAAGGAAAGCCGCTGAACTTGCACCCGGAGGGCGATAGACAACTGAGAATAGTACATTGTTTGCAATCACTGTCAAAGCTTCATACCATTCGGTTATTTTAGAAAATTGTTTTAATACTTCATAACCCATATGTTTTTTCAGCAACATGGCAACGCCACCACCTCTTCAATCGCATCTATCCATGCAAAGATGATTATAGTCCGGTAAAATATAATAGTCCGAACTACTCCTGTACCACGTTTCGGAAAACATGATAACAGTTAAATGTGGTCCGATTTCGCCAAACAATGTATTCAATTCATCGTGTTTATCTTTTATTGATCTCGCATTCATATGAAAGTACGTATCAGAAACGGTACGTTTATCGTCTAGAAACTCACACAATTCAAGTGGCGTGAAAACGTGCTGAGCCATGAATAAAAAACAAATAAAAGTAAATGCCGTTTCGAGACAGATAACCGTCTACGCTACACTGGAAAGGTCACTATCATAGGTTATCTGAAGAGCGTCACTGTTTTCATTTTTTCGCATGAAAATTTTTCCTTGAGAAACCCAGGCAAACTTCCATCCTTTTTCTTTTTTGCAACGAATCGTTTTGCTCAGTAAGATCTTATTTTCGAGACACAAATGCTCATTCACAAAGATAGGCTCAGTACCATGAAAACCAAGGTCAGCACTCGTGAGCCTATGTTTCTTTGCCTTTTGCAAGACTTGGTCCCGAACGCTACGTCGTACAAATCTCACAACTACATTTTGCACGCCATTGGTTTTTGAAGGCACACGGTGAACAGTATCAATGTCAGACGGACATAGCTGAGCTCCGACACGGGTACCAAGTTCAACGACGAGCGCATCAAGAACCTCGTTTGCGTTTTGTGGAAGTCCTTTGACTTCGAGGTTGTTAGCTCTACTGTACTGTTTTAGTTCCACCAGCTTTCTCTTTACAGAGGTAAGTTCTTCAGTAAGCTTCCTATTTTCGTCCTTAAGAGTTTGCTGTTCCACCCTTAGTTATTTTACCTCCTTAACAGTGGTGGCTAGATCTTCCTTGAAATCTTCAAAACTTTTGTTCATAAAAGTCATTGACCGATTTATCTCCTCCATTTCTTTGCCCAAGTTCGTATTCATTACATTCATTTCCCGGCTTAAGCTTGTATTCATCTCATCCAGCTTTGCTGAAAATTCGAAGAAAAGCTTAGCGAGCTCCTTCACAGTTCCAGGCTGTTTTTCACCCATTACTCGGTGCTAACAACCAAACAACTAGCGATACAGCAAACCAACACAGCCAAAAATACAGCCGGGCGATCCAGACAACCACAAAAGAGAAGAAATGCAGCAACACTACCCACCTGCAAATATACAGAAGGCAATGCGTCAACTGAGGCCGAAAACACGCGTGTCTGGATCGCCCGCTGCAATGGAAGGACCCACGGCGAGAGCTTCCTTTTGTAGGCTCTTGTTCCGGAAAGCTGATGTCACCGGAAACTGCAACGTAGTCTTGGCAGTCCCTCAGGAGCTAATCTCGAAGGGCGTTGATGATCGCTTGAAACAATGATAGGCACCGTTTGGGCGATATGACCGCAGACTGCAAATATACAGAAGGCAATGCGTCAACTGAGGCCGAAAACACGCGTGTCTGGATCGCCCGCTGCAATTATCGCAAAGATTAGCCACCCACATAATGTCCGCCTGGCCGTATAACCCACCTGCGCAAACCGCATTAGTGTTGCTTTCACGTTTTTTTTTTTAAACAAATGTGTACGAATAAAAAAAAAAAAACCCTGTATATTGTTAATATGCCTGTCCTCTCACTATGTGAAAATGACCCCGTCGTGCATCTTTACAAGTGGTAAAAAAAAACACAAAAAACGTTTGAGGTGTAAATAATATCGTACGTGGGCTACGACAGGTGTCTTCTTAATATTTTACTATGTTGAACAGTTTTTATCGCGCACCTGTTCTCTGGCTTCCCCCTATTTGCAAAGATTTGGAGCGTGCGGGTGATGATTTGAACACAGAACAAGCATCTTCGCATATATTCATGAGCAGAAAGAATAAAGCAGTACTGATTTATTGCAAATCGGAGTATATTACGTGACTTTCAATTTATTTTGATCGTCTGCAAGCACGAGGAGTTACTTACCCAGTGTTACTGCGTAGTTCTTGCCGTCTCTCTTGGTTTTCCACATGTCCTTCGTTCGTTTGGCACGTATATCCCCCATGCTGGAAAGCGCCGACGCCGTGTTCGCGCTAACAGTGCCCGACAGTGCACATAAATACATGTACGAGGCGGTTTTAGCACCGTTTTTCATGCCACGATTTAAAAAAGAAACAAAAAAAAAAAAAAAAACGCCGTACCTGACGAATTATTTCATCTGCGTGTCTGGGAAATGTTTCAATGTGCCTAGTAGGTACGAATTATTCGTTATATTTGCTCTTATAATCGAGCGCAGAGAGGAAATGCACTCGATTTTTTCCGTAGAAATGCATTACCCGAAGTCAATTTCGGACTGCTTGCTGTCTGCTTCAATTTGCAACAGCACACTAGCGCCAGTTGAACCTCTAGAGCACATTATAATAACTATATGTTTAGTGCAAAGTGTTGATTTAAGGTACACACCTGAGCAATACAGTTTTGGTACCCTTTGGAAATTGTATACGCGAAGGCCGGCAACGCCATGTTTATGCTAACGGCTTCTCCGGGGCATGCGCCGAGAAACCGAGGGTGTTGAGGAGACGAGTGCACGCGCGGACGTCAGAGCGCCGATCTCTGATTGGAATGATTAGTCGATAGACCTAAAGGTTCGCTCAAACAGTCTTGCGGCTCCTTAGAACCACCAGCGCCTGAAAACCTTTTACAATCTCCTCCGACGAGAGACTGGCACGCTGGCGCCATCTGTGCGGTGACCCCGGAACTGCATTTCACTAGAGCGATTCGTGTGTATGCGCCATCACAACCGGCGTTTTCGAATTCTTTCTTTCGTTCGTTGGACGCCTTTTGTCTCGAACGGCAGCCGTTTTCTTGTTCTTGGGAACTTTAACTGCGTCGTCGATTTTGATATAAATGTGTGAGGGTGCGGGCGAGCGCGATATACATGGAACGCCAGGAAAGTTAAACGCCTTATTCAGACATTTCAGCTGGGAGATGCCTGGCGGGTTTTTGTGCCTTAACACCTGCGGTTGTATACGTGCTTTCGTCGGGGGGCACTTGTAGCCGCTTGGACGTAGTTTATTTCCCCCCTGACTTTCCTTTCACGGTGTCCCGATGCGAGATCCTGCCTCTCCCGCTTGGCGCAGGGCTATAACCGAGCTGCTCGAAAGCATCGCACAGACACTATTTCTACTTCCCCTTGATCCCACCCAACGGGAAGGCTTGAGAGCAGTCCTGTAGACCGTGCTGGCTGTGGCCGAAAAGTGCCGAAAGGTAAAGCAGACTACGCGGCTGAACGATGGTATCAGGCGCGTGCTCATTGTACAACGCAGAGGGGCAGGAACCACGCTTATACAGGAGTACCTGGAAGTGCTACGAGCGCTGTACAGCCGCTTGCTCCGGTACAACTCGCCAACAGCCAGTGCCCAGTGCCTGACCTTGAAGCGTTCCGTTAGCCAGTGCCTACCTGACCCCCGAAGCCTTGCGTTACCTCCGCGTGCCCGGCACGAGAGGCGGGGCTTCAGGAGGAATCCCGTGTGTTGCTTTGGCAGGTGGTCGCGAATACACTCTGCGAGAGGACACCGAGAACGTTTTTAGAACAAATTTTTCTTGTCTTTATACTTCCAATCAAGGCGGTGACTCCAGTCGTCTCGCTTCTGCTTTAAGACACTTTTGTGGAGATCTGCCCGGCGTCCCCGCTGGAGTGAAGGAAGGGATTTTACGCCCAGTCTCCCGAGTGGAGGTCTCAGAAGCCTTGCGTTCATAGAAGACCGGTGCTGCACCATGTTCGCGGATAATTTACCCACTGAATTTTACTAAAAATTTTGGGATGTGCTGGGTGACGCTCTTGCTAATGTCATCAATACTTTCTTAAGAACCGGATACGTGCCTGATTCCTTTAAACTTGGTAGAGTGACCCTGCTCCCAAGAACATCGAACTGTTATCCGAGCCTCGTGCATGGAGGCTCGCTAAATTGCTCAACGCCGATTGTAAGATTCTCGCAACTGTCTTAGTTAGACGACTTCGCGGCATTTTGCTTAATTGATAGTTATCCCCTTTCAGACATGCAGTGTTCCAGGACGTACCATGTTTTCTTCTTTAGCGCTGACGCGTGACTCGTTTGCGTATACTACGTCTTGGAACTTGAGGGGCACTTTCATGTCTTTCGACCAGGGAAAGATTTTTGATCAGGCAGAATACCGTTTTCTCTACAATGTTTTAACGGCATTTAGATTCTATCGTTCATAAGTGGATTTGCTTGAAAGTTTGTATACTGGTCTGTCTAGCGAACTTATTGCTAATGGTCGTCCGACTGCCGCTTTCTCAGTCACGAGGGGCGAACGGCAGGGCTGCCCTTTGTCTCCTTTGCTTTGTGTAATTAGTATTAATCCGTTGTTACATAAAATCCATGAGAGTGAGCTGTCCTAGGGCTCCCACTTCCAGAAAGGGGGACAGTGTCAGTTGTTTCCTACGCGGACGAGGCGTCTTCAATTTTGCCTGACTCTGACAGCTTTTTGGCAGTCGAGCGTATTTTCGCGGTAAACGCAGCACTTTCTGGGGCGCAGTTGAATCGTGAAAAAAAGAAAGCTTGGCAGTTTAGATTATTTTTGTCGATTCTATTAGCATTCCTATTGTTTCAGCTGCACATGTTCTTGGGGCACCTTTTTAAAAATCGGAATAGCACCCCTGGCCCGGCAAGAACTTTTCGGTCAGGCGAAGAGTCAAGTACAGCTCTCTTCTGTGTCTAAGTTCCCTTTAAGTTGCGGGCTTCTACATCCGATTCCCTCACACCCTGTTTCCGGATGAATATGACACAGCAATACTTCGCTCTCGGCAAGATGGTTTATTCACTCACTTATTGCTCTGGGGGGTTTCGGGATTGGGGATGGTCATCAGCGTGACCGGGGCAGAGTCCGCTGCCATGCAGCTGCTCCTAGTCCCAGCGGTGGTCGTCAACACCGCGCCATGGGGACGTCGTCGTCCAGGGTCGCCGTCCGGTCCGCAAGTAGAGTCCACAGATCAACGTCTTGCCCGCACTTTCCCCGCGCCATCGTCCGTCTCCCGTCGAATCCCGCGCCAGCATCATCGTCTCCTGTCACCGCTGCACGCGTCCGCCGTCGAAGACAGCCTTCCTTTGTCCGGCTTCCTCTTTTCAAGCCTTCGCCCCTTCGTTCCGGGAGGTCAATCCCGTGACGTCAGTTGGCTTAGGGGAGTAGTCCAGCCGGATCTTGTGCGGGAGGACATCGGGGCCCTCCCGAGGCATGACGCATTACGCTTCCGCCGGGATTTTGGGCCCGAAGGGTCGGCGCGGGGGAGGGCAGGCAGATCTCCACAAACTAGAAAGCATTTTAGATAGAGAGTGTAATAGGCGCAAAGCTGTGGTTTGTTGTAAAAGTCGCACTCTCACCTCCAGTTTTTACGCCTGGAATGATATATCTCATCTTCTCCTTTTCTTTTTTTTTTGGGGGGGGGGGGGGGGGAGGGGGTGGGGGGTGGGGGGTGGTAAAAGTGAACTTGTGGCCAGAACAGCACTACACCTTAGAATTCCATACCTGCCAAGGTTTCCGCGCTTATTGGATTTCAGAAGTGTGCTCAATCTTTTAGATAACACGGCGTATATTGGTCACCCCTTTGCATTGTATTGTTTGGGTCACTTGCGCCGTACTCTCGTGCCCAGGAGGCTCGACAATCTGTGCCCTGCGGCGGTGACTCCCTCTCTGTATTACGTTTCAGTCCTTGCGATATGGCGTCGGGTGACTGAAGAGTTGCCTGTACACGTTCAGGAGAGTTCTGAGTTGCTAATGTGCGAAGCACTTTGTGCACCTGACGTGTCTGTTCGACGCCAAGTCCGGAGTTCCCAGGTAATTTGAGATGACATGTTGACCGCAGACGTACCATCATCCCTATGTTTTGAACGTTGCGCCAGAAGATAGCAGGCCAAGGGGAGAACGAACCGTGGACACTTTGAGACAACAGTTCCTGCGACGATGGCATTCTCGGTTTCTAACTGTTAGTAGAAAGAGGGTCACACTGCGCCCTACATACGTATCTAGATAAGTACGATGTAGGATTTGTGGGTGTGACCTGCGCGCCACTCAACTTGTAAATATGTAAATAAACTTTTTTTTCACTGCAATTAATTGAAAGAGAAAGTGTATTTCGAATGTGGAAGTCAGGACAACATCACGTGCGTTGCCGTTTCAGTTACGAAAGGTCGCAAACTTCTACTCCAGTGTGCTGAAATGAAATACTTGCATAGATCCTTATGTAAAAATTGTTATTGGAAGCTCTTCGCCTCGGCTAAAGGAATATTCGTGGCTAGTGGTTGGTCACAGTAGCTGTCAATCAACGTGCCCCATGTCATTGAAACAATTTTGGCCAATGGCGTGACGTTATTTGTGCCCCATTCATACCAATTAATGACCGAACCCTCTAAATATACTGCACTGCTTTTGTCGTAAGAGTTTCTGAGAGGTTTCAATGAGTCACAGGGTCCTAAGAAGTCGGAGGCGTGTGAACGGGCCTCATAGCTACGCTGAGAGCAAGTCGTCCGCTTCTTGTGCAGTAGTTGCTTTGACGCCAGAACGACGCAGAGCTTTGATTGGCTTTGATTGAAAAGAGAGAGGTTAGGCCCCAATGCTAGATGTCTCGAGGTCTACGCACTATCTGTTTCAATCAGCCAATATGAGCTCGGCATTCTGACATCATAGCAACTCCTGTGCAAGGAGCAGACGAACATGCGCTCGGCATAGGTCCCTCTGTCTCCACTGCACGCGTCAAACGCGTAAGAACGCGGAACGCCGGCGTCTGGCGTTCGGCTGTCGCATTCGATCGCGATAGACGAGCGCAGTGAAGACAAAGGCCGCTAGCTTTAGGTCTACCCACTAATCGTTCCAACCAGAGCTCGGCCTTCTGACGTTCCAGCGTGCTCTCGCCTCTCCCTCTTTCTCAGTTTCTCTGCGCATACACACAAAACGATGTTGATTGGAGGACTCCAATCCCAACAGAAAGGCAAGTAGCGTTTCTTTGAAAGCAGGTGAAACCCCTTACCTGGGGTTTCACCGGAGGAGGCATCGGGTACAGCTGCTTCGGGTAGGCGAGGCTGAAGAGTTCCTTGCTCCGGATCTGGGAGAGCGCTGCTAGGTACGCGTGGAGGAACGGACGATCCGCCGTGACGTCGTCAGTGTCCACGTCGTCGTAGAAGCGGTCCAGCATCGGCAGCGTCGGCAAGTCCAGCGTAGGACCGCTCCTGCGCAGGTAGCGTGTCGGTATATAGTTTCGTAGAAGATACGAGGAGTGTTATTAAGCTTTGAGGGAAAAAAGCCACCCGCAAGGTAGAAATAAATAAAGCAAAACAAAAGGCCTGTCTCTTCGGTGCGCATATTCTGGAGGCACTGGGAATGCAGAGCGTCCTCTTCGCCTCGCAGTCTCTCTTCCCCGCAGCCAGCCCCTTTCATCGAGGCTAGGAGGGGAAGGGGGAGTCCTAAAGCTTTGTGGGTGGCTTTTCCCCGAAACCTTAATAAAACTCACTTGAGTTTTATTAATTAAGAAGTTCAAAGACCAGATAAAGAAAAAAAAAAAACATTCATAAGGCGCCCCCACCCCCATCCCTTCCCCTCCTAGCCTCGATCAAGGGGGCTGGCTACGGAGAAGAGCGACTGCGAGGCGAAGAGGACGCTATGCATTTCGAGCGCCTTTAGAATATGCGTACCGAAGAGACAGGCAGCCTTTGTTTTGTTTTATTTATTTCGACCTTGCGGGTGGCGTTCCCCTCAAATTTATGAAAAGGCAGTGTGCCTCTGAAAGTTCGAAGGTGCAGACTTTTTAAGCAAAATCATAAAATTGCTTTAAAGGAATTTCGATATCTTGGCAAGCTTCTTGTTTATGTCTGCTTTACGTGGAACTTAAGCACGCCATTTTCAGTTAAAGAAATGGCTAGTTTTAAGAAGATGGGTAGACGGCGGAAAACACTAAATGACTAATTTTTGCTATGCGATCAATGCCTCAAACAAATCGGCAGAAAGGCTGCCACATTTCCTTCGTTTTTTTTTTTTTTTTTCTTGAGGAGGACGGGGGAGAAGTTTACTTTTAAAAATACCTACAGGGATGTCCTCCAAGTGAACAAATATAATTTTTTTTCTATTACGCGGAGGCCCAGAAGTTTTAGTGGTTAATAAAAAAAAACAAAAAAACTTTCAAACATTAGGCTACCGGAATAAAAAGACAGAAGAGAATCGCTGAAAATACAGAGTCGTTCGATATGATTGTCGGGGTTTCCGTGGACTATAATTTTAAAACCGCAGATACAAAGAGAAGGATGCTGGCAAAACGGGACGTTGTAATGCAAACTGCAAAAATGCTTGTTCAGTTGGTTTTTCTGGGTTTCAAAATAACTATTCCGATGGATTCGATTAACATCTTGCTACGATAAACTCGAGTATTCCGGCTCCTTTTGGCTGCAAATTACTGCCAGTCTTTTGAATTTGCTTTGATCGACGTCAAATAGTCATTATCCGAAGGAGGACTTTTTCCCTACGTAGGTTTCTTACGGCGTTGCGTTTCGGTAACGAAATTTGTTTCGTAAAACGTAAAGATACTCACATTGTTTCCCCTTGAGCACCCGCCAGTTTGAGATACGACGTGATATTTTTCTCCCAGGCAGCACTGCGTCGAGAACTGCGTTGCCAAATAGAGCGTTTTGAGCTCCACTTAAGTCTTACGCAAAAAGTTGTATTTTTGTTGTTTCTGGTTTGAAAAGTGTAGCCCACGGAAACCCCACCCCTATAATTTAGAATCACCCTGCCTACGCATCGCTCTGCGTCCACGGGAGCTGCGGGCAAACGCGCTCTTTTTTTAAACGCTGAATGCACCCTTTGCAAGACTTCGCAAAGACCGCGAACGCAGCGCGCGAGGAATCATGGGAACTTCCTGTATGCTGGGATCACGAGGGAATCTTCCTCTCTGCCGCAGCATCAATCACGTGACAGTGACACTGATGAGTGCGATAAAATGAGAGACGTTTACAAATCTTTGTAATGTGAAATTAGAGCGCAGCTCTTGAGGACGTGGAGGGGAAGGTACGGAGGGGCGGTACGCCCCTCCTCCCCCTCCGTATCCTCCATTCCGTCTCCTTTCCTTCCCTCTCCTCCTCCCTTCCTAAATTTAGCGGAGAAAATTTCCCCTAAGTTTCGCGGATTAAAGTCCCTGCTAAATTTAGCGGGGAAATTGACGTCACGTGACTCCAACACCAATTCAGTTTCCCCTCTAAATTTAGCGGGGAAAATTACGTCACATGACTTCGTGTTACCCATGAACCAATTCAGTTTCTCTGCTATATTTAGTGGGAAAATTGACGTCACGCAATCTCAACACTACTTCACTGACCCGCTAAATTTAGCGGGGTGGTTACGTCAACGGCGACGCTGAAGGCCACGCCGCAAAACGTGGTAACGGGCGCCTAAGAGCTGCGCTCTACAACAGACAAGGTAGCGCAGTTCCTTGCTTGGCTTCGTCCACTCGCCTTCACCACCAGCATGGTCTGTCAGAACCAGAAGAGGAGAATAGGCCTTTCCGGAAAATCCCACAAGGACCCTCACCAACCCGACATTGCACCGCGCGGCGCGGGGTTATTGTGGAGCCGTTCCGATGTACGTTCACGCCGGCTCGAATGCGAAAGGGACCTCTTCCCAGTAAGCTCCTGCGCATGCGTGTACCGTCTCCCCTGGTCGCGCTTCCCGCTGTCGTCAACTTCAGAAAGCAAGACCAACAATGGCAACACCCCTCTTCGCGCGTCTTTCGTCATTTCAGACTATTATATTTTTGAGAATCGGTAGTATGGGGTATAAAAGCACCAACAATCCATACAACGGCTTGATGCCAATGTGTTTTGACTGGCGGACGCATGTCGGGCTTCTCTCCGTTTGTAGTTCGCACACAAGCTACCAGACGGCGCTCGTCATTCGAAATATGCCCATTCCTTCTCTCTCACCTGAGCGAATTCAGAACACGAAGAAAGCAGAGCGAAAACATCACAAAATTGGTGCGCACCCTGTTTTGTTACCGTCCTGCTTCCTTTGCACTCCGAAGTAGCAAAATACTAAACAAACCTGAACCGCTCCTTGTAGTCTTGGGTATGGCTTCACGTGTCTTACATCGGATGCGAGGCATTTGGTATTTATGGAATGGCCTATTCCTCTCGACGCCGCGGAGGATGTCTTGCAAGAGGCCTATTCGTTTAACTTGACTCACGAGTTGCGCAACGACGATTGTTTACGGCCCTCTTCCAGGGCGACGAAGGCGTCGCTGACGTCCTTGAGGACGAGCTCGGCCTCGTCCCTTGACCTCTCTTCATCCAGGGTCTCAAGGAGGTAAGGCAGCAACGTCGGGTACGGCATCAGTTTGTGCACGGTCTCGAAGCAGGTCCCAGAAGGATTGCTGGAGTACAGTCTGTACGCGGTGTTACGAAACAGTCACGGAGTTGTAAAAGACAGCAAAGAATAGCAATATAAACAAATTAGATCGAACGAACACTGGTCACCTAGACTGATTACGAACTGATCAGATCGCACGAACATTGATCACGTACGTTGGTTACGAACTGATCTGATAGAACGAGCACCGGTTGCCGACGCTGATTATCAACTGATCTGATCGAACGAACAGCGATCGAACGAACGCTGGTCACCGACGTTGATCACAACTGTTTTGATCGAAGGAATGCTGATCGAACAGACTCTGATCACGGACGCTAATTATGAACTGATCAGATCGAACGAATTTTGATCGGACGAACGGCGGTTTCGCGCAAATGGCGTCGTCGCTGCGGCTCGGCTTTACGTTGTAGCGCCCGTTGTGCCACCGCCACGGCCACTCGATACCCTCCTCTCCCGCTCCCGCGGCGTGTCATTGGAAGCGTGCCAGAAGACTTTTTCCCTTGGCGTAGAAAACGAACCACCGGAGCGAAAGAGCACGGAGGAAACTGCGCATTGCCCTCGCGAAACCAGTTCATGTTCAGTAGAGTCCAGTCCAAACCACGACCGTCCAAACGAAAGTCGGCTTCATGCACTCGGGATATAAATGCTAACGAATTTAAAAACGCGACAAGAAGCATGAACATAAGCCACGTCTTGCATTTCTAAATCTGTCAGTGACTTTAGAAGACAACAAGGAACAACACCAGCAACCAATTCTATCAGACAATCACTGAATGACGACACTAATTAGTGCGGTCCATTGATGGCTTGATAGGATAGGGTGCGTCTAATTATGATAATATCTGCTGTTTAGTTATTGTTTCTTGATTGCCAGTAATCGTGAGATTTTAGTGGCTGTCTGGTCGTAAGGATATAATGAGTGCGGGTCGAACCGTGTTTTGTGCAGGACGTTTGCGACAGACTCCAAAGGATCTCAAGGATCAGTTGTCATGTTATGGACATGTGCTGAAAACGGAGCTGTGCGGCCGGACGTTTGGCGTGCTAGAACACTTCATATGTCGCTTCTGGAGTTTATTTCGGAGGCTGAGAGAATCCTTGTGACCTTGGTGATCTATAATGAGGTAGCGATGCTAAAACGACGTTGGTTCTTCTACATAGCTATACAATTTTTTTTGATGAATTTAAAGAACGCAGAGGAACCTTGACTTTTACGTGATACTCTGAAAAGTGGTTGGCCATGAGGGTTATGAGGGCGGGTTATAAAGGGGAGTGAGGCTCAGTATACCTAATTCAATTTGAAGTTAGGGAGCAGCCAACTCTGAAAGCTGATGGGGGCAATCGGGCAGCGCTAAAAGCGCAACGTCACGGCGCACATAATCTTTTTGTGCGTGCGCTATTATTTTTGAACCAATCAAGCGCAGTGAATGCGTCATGATCAATTGCGCTTTTAGACGTGTGTTTGAGTTTGTATGTTCCTACCTTTGACTGCACTCTCACATACGACGGAGTGAAGTATGTAGGCTTTGTTCTAGCACAATGCACTCTTTTCGAGCGTTTATCACCCAGCGGAAGGATGCAGAGTTGAGGGATTCAGGACGGATGCCTGATATTCCACAGAGGAGACTTACTAAGCACGCATGTTCAAAACGCGTCCCAGGCAAGCCCAGTATACAATATGGTGGCAGCGCGAAGAAGCGATTGTTGGAATGATCTACAGAGCGAGCGCCAAAACCCTCTTCAGGAGGACTAGACATCTGCCCTTGTGCCCCTTGGCGTCTGTAGACGAAAGATGAACTATTTATTAATAGCTTGGGCAGACAAACCCGATCTGCCGTTAAGTCTAAAAGAAAACTGGTTACAGTCTTTAGTAGAGCCTAGTTGATACATAGAGACCTATTGCTAAATCAGCCAAGCACCAAAGAGAATGCTGGGAAGGTAGGCCTTGCGTCGCACGTGCTGGCTTCTACAGCAGTAACAGTTGTAAAGTAAAAGCCTAAAACAAATGGCATCTTGCGTGCACTCTCGTCAGCGCCTTAGTTTGGTTATTTACTTCGAATCTTTTATACGGAGAAGGCGAGCGAGTGCGGCGCGTGAACCTGCATTCGCAGCATTCTCCTTGATACTTGGGTAATTTAGCAATAGGTTCATAGGGAGTATTCACTGGACGCCATATTTGTGAGTGCTGTTTAGAGCGCATGCTCAGAACGAGTTCACAGTAATAGACAGCTAAGACCGGCACTCTTGATGGTGCGGAACGCACGTTGCAGAAGAACTGTTGAAGCTCGCCGTCAGCACGCGCTCAGCATTCGCGCACACAGCTATGGCCGCCAATGAATACCCCCTATTGGTATTGGGTCAGTTTGAACTTACAAAACCAAACGAAGAAAGGCCGGGACAAAACGAAACACCTCACTATACTTCGTTTTACATTAATTCAAGACGCAGCCGACGCTACGAGCTGTTGGGACCAACAAGACGCCGTGAAACGCGCTTCATCATGGTGTTCGTCATGTTTCTGTACGTGTCCTATCACGGCTAAACCGATCATGAACAAAAAAGGCCTAGGGACTTCTGCTTTTAACACTGATTGATTGGTCTAATTACCTCGTATCTATAGCGTCGGCTGTGTCTGGAGTTAGGCTGAAACGAGGTATAACAACCTTGCTTTGCTTTAGTACACTTCTTCCTCATACACGCAATTGCCGTCTTCAGGGGCTGTTGACATACATACCAAATAACTAATAGTTATTTGCTTTATATTATTTGAACCCTATAGCTATTTGGTGCATGTGTAAACAGCCGCTGCAGAATATGATTATGCATATGACGAAGAGGTCGACTAAAGCAAGATTGTTAGATGTTTTGTCCTGTACCGCTCTCTCTTCGTTTGCTTCTTGAGTTCATGCTGAGCCTTCACCATCACTAAAAAAAAAGAAAAAAAAGAAGAAATTCGGGTGTACGAAGCAATATGTGAGCGGCGTCCGGCAATTTTCGGTTCCTTATGAAATTTTGTTTTACTGTTGGCAAACAACGACATTGAGCCGCAAGCCTCTGCAAGCATAATTCTTAAAGGAGCTGTGCAACAATTTTTGTACTGTGCACAAATACCGCTTAAAACGGATCCCTAACGTTAATGACCTGTGAAACACGCTTTCGTTTTTCACCCCACGCAATAGAAGTCCCAGAAAAAAATTTAAGAAAAACGAGCTGCGTTCACCCCCTCAACTCACAGCCAGAACAAGCGGCCACGTGATCTGGAGCCGATTATATGCCGCCAGTGTTGATCATAACCACGCGCTGGGGTTGACAAAGCGCAGGGCACGCGCTGAGTTCCAGTCATTGTTATGGTTCGGCTGTTGTCGTTGTTGCAGCGATTGGACACGGGTCACAACCCGAATGCTTCTCGAGCTAGCAATTGTCACGAGCCCAAGTCGAGTGTCCACGCAATGCTCGGGTCCAATCTATGAACCGCATTCAAATATCCTCACTTGGGTGTACTGCGATCCCCGAGTTACGTCATCAAATTTTGCAAAGGAGAGACTGAATGAAAATGATCGCTTTTGTCCTTGAAATTACACCGCAACAAAGGAGTTTCTTGGCCAATGGCGTTGCGTGTGAGTATCCTTGAGTCCCAGGTGTGCCAGTCAGCTCGTGTAGAGGGAAAAACATTCCAATTGAATATCGTTGCATAGCTCCTTTAAACCTCCAGATAGACAGATTTCACCAGCCGGTTTGACTACGCCACCGCTGCCGCAATGCATCGAGGGAGCTTTAGTCTTTCTGCACGTGCGACAACCTCGCTGGAGCCCTGCGCGTGTGGAGCATGAGGCGGCACGAGCCGTCTTGTGCACTGCTGCCTGCCTCCTCCGAACTAAAGTTATGGCGGCGTCACGCATGCGCCGAAGGCTTGGTGAGATTGGTCTATTGTATTTTTCAGAACCATGCTTGGATAAGCTTGCAGATCATCGTCGTCGTCGTTTGTCAAAAGCGAAACAAAATTTCCTAAGGAACCGGAAGTTGCCAAACGCCGCTCACCTATTTAGGTAGGCTTTGCACACGGCTTGGTCGGTTATTGCCATCGGAAAAAAAGCGAACATCTCATTGGCGAAAAACAAATATACAAACAACCAAGCAAGCGCACAAAACAAACAAACAAACAAAGGATTTTGGGCTAATTTCTCTACCGCAAATTGATGTGGCAGGAAGACGAGTACTTCAATAATTAATGGAATTTAATTATCGAATTTGTCACCTTCCTGCTACGTCATTTCTCGGTAGAGTTCAGCCTGGACTTTTCGTTCTGCGTTTTCAGTATTTTTTATTTCCACCTTTTTTTGACGCACCAAAACGCCAGAGCGGGTTCATCCAAACTCTTCCTCAATCTCTATTGAACTTTGGTTAAAAGCGCTAAAAAAAAAACGTTCACAAGATAGAAGAGAAACACGGGCGCTACTCACAACTGTACAACACAACTGTAACAGTTGTGAGTAGCGCCCATGTTTGTCTTCTATCTTGTGTACGTTTTTTTAGCGCTTTTAACCATGGTTCAATACAGTCAACACCAACTAGCCCAACAACAAGTTATTTTACAGTATCTTCCTCAATCACTCCATGCACCTCTTTCGATAACGCGATTTGATTAGTGAGATTATGTACAACATTAAGCCTTGCAGGGCTTTAAAATGTACAAGTTCTCGCCAAAACACGTTCCTGCTGACGATACTAATTGTGACATTTCATTTTCTCCAAACCCTGTGGTGTCGTGTTTATATCACCATTTCCACAAACTGTTCGCCAGCTCCGCTACACCAGCGTTAGCTTGCACCTCGTCCTCACCTCCAAATGAACATTCCGAAGGCCGCAAGTCGCTGTCGCACTGAAGATTGCTTACGCATCATTAAGCCGGTCGCAAAAGCTCGCGAAAGGTCTATTGTGCAAGGACGTGACGATCTGATGCAAAT